ATTTTGATTAATTTAATTTTTATTTATGTATATAACTATTTGATTAATCTTTTTTTTGTTGCTATTTTTATTGTTAGGCTGTTGAAGAAGAAGAAGAAGAAGAAGAAGAAGAAGAAGAAGAAGAAGAAGAAGAAGAAGAAGAAGAAGAAGAAGAAGAAGAAGAAGAAGAAGAAGAAGAAGAAGAAGAAGAAGAAACGATATGAGTGAGAAGAGAGAGAAAAAACTGTAGCTATACAGTTTTTTTTTTTTGTTTTTTCTAATTGTGTCTAAATATGGAGTATATATAGAATTGTGGATGCCCGGAACTATTACGGAATATTTTTTTCAAAATAGGGCAGTTACAAAATTTTCCCGCTATTGTTAGATCGTTCTCCATACGTGGGCCTCAAGGTCAGGCCCATACCATGTGTGTTTCTAACTAGGGCCTTCTCGCCAATAAAAGATTTCATCATCAGACAAGAAATAAACAACCTTTGTTACTTCTAGTGTTGTAAAATAATATGGCCCAGCTATAGATTCATATCACCTCTATATATAATTCTCGAATGCGCTGAGCCCACGTGGTTGCTTCTGGTGCTTTGGAATCCTACTTGACGAAAAATCATGCTTCGTAATTAGGTTTGGCAAATAATATTGATATATTAATAGTTAATAATCTAGATTCGGACATTCCATAAATATTATTTAGCTAAATTAGGTGTTTTAGTATCCCTTGTACTAATATAACCCTTTAATTCTTTGAAATTTCACATATTGAGGCACTAAGTGACTAATTTATCCATAACTTTTGAATTGTTTCCTACAATTAGCTATTGAATTGTAAATGTATTTTAAAAGTTAATAACTTTTGTATTTCTTATCGGTTTTACATATATAATATATCAAATTAATCATCTTTTGATAATCTTCGATTTGACATCAATATTGTATATATTAAATAAACTTTATTTATCTTTATAATAATAATAAATAATAATGTTTACTAAAATTCAGTAGAAAAATAAAATTATTTATCAAATTGATATATTTATAGGGAAATGTATAGATAAATCCCCAATCCTAAATTCATCTTCTCATTCAGTC